CGTTTTGAATAGTTATCATTAGTCATTTAGCTGACTTCGGCCTTCACAGAGGGAGGAATATCAAAGTAAGAAAAATTCGAGAGAGGGGAGCAAAAGAGTGATTCAAAGATGTAAAAGAATGGAGGGAAGAGTACTGTGGAAGTTGGCTAATATGCCATACAGTGGGTCATGGTAGCTAGAGTCAACTGGAATATGACATACAGTGGGGTGATGGTAGTTTGAAGTCAGGAGTCAACTGCCGGCTTGTAGGCGTTTTTGCCGCATGAGTATACGTTGTCCAGGGTGCACACCCCACAATATATACATATATATATTTTAATAAATAATAATTTATAATTTCACTATTTTGAAATTTTTGAATTGCAGAATTCACAGAAGGCATGGCATGAGCATCCACATCGTCAACAGTCAAATAATTTGACATCAGTTATGCGTAAGAGTGATCAGAGCCAGCAAACGGACCTTATTCCACCGTGCCTACCAGTCACAACTGCTTTCAAGGATGTAATAACTCAACAACCACTTCCAGCTCTTCCACCCATCACCTATTCACAGCCTCCGCAGACATTACAACTTCCTGCATATCCACCTTCCAATTTGGCTCATCCACTATTAAATCCAGCGAGTACAGCAACAGATTTAGCTATGTCCATGACTACTGGAGTATCTGCTGTGAGTGCACTTCGTGAAAGACTGCAAGTGTCCTTCGGCACCCCACAAGAAAGAACCAATCTCATTTCGGCTGCGTTTATTCATCGATTAAAACAGAGAGTGCAACAGAGGCGAGAGGAGAGCACTTTAAATGGCATTAGAAGAATGAGCGGGAGTGATGAATCCTCGGAAGAAGATGCGTACGAGTTTCAACAAGGCAGACGAATCAAAACGGGAAGATTGAGAAGTTCAGTGAGTGACGATTTTTCACTACTGCTTGTTAAAGCAAACCTTTTGCATTTTGCTATGGCGATTAGAGAAGTCATCACTGAGGTAATCTGGAACTCTGACAAAAGGGCTTAATTGATTGCAACGGTGGATTAAACTCAAAATGCCCTTGGCAAAAACTATTAATGGAAGGTATTCAGGAAAAGATTTTTTCACTTTAATCATCAGAGGACACTATCTGAATCCATTTAAAAGTACTGTTAGATGCGAAAGTTTGGAATAGCTGGAAGTGCCTACTTTAACCTGTCGAAATTGCTTTAAATTTAATTGACTTTATTGACATTACTCTAATAATGACTACTGGATTTGAGACAGACATTTACTACTTCTGTTGAAACTCTGTTTGAAGTGCTTCTGGTAGAACGCTTAACTAGATGTCAGCTAAATGTGAATTAAAGAGCACAAATGTATCTTTGATTTTGTGTTTTTATTTTTTTATTTTTTACATTTAAGCGTAAATGACCAAATTCTATTATTTAAAGGTTAAAGGTAGTTGTCAATCCCTTTGATCACGGAAAAAACGTGGCTTCACAATGGCTTCCTCTTAAGCTATTAAACGACTGATTGAATTTTGCTTGCATTTTCGAATATCATCTAAGCCTGCTATCTCGAATGACTGTCGTGTCTTCAGAAGACAACATTTGTCCCCCTCTAGCTGCTAACAAGGAAACATAAATCTGAGCAAAATGTTTGCTTGGGAGCTTTACACTGCGTTTCGAAAAAAACTCTAAAATTATCTTTAATTGGTACATTAAGAAAAAACTAAGTTTTAGTTTGGATGGTTTTTTAAATCTTTCAAAAATTTTTCAAATAAACTGAGTAAATAAGAGCTTAAAATTAATACTTTTACTGTTTTGCCATATAATTATATATATATATATATATATATATATATATATATATATATATATATATATATATATATATATATATATCAACTGATCACAATTTTGAGCAACAATAATCGCTTATTTCTTCAACACATTTGCTCTTCCATATTTGCTCAAGTCTTCTTTCCAACCAAAAGGCTTCAGACTTGAAAGTTGCACAAAAACGATCAGCTGCAGTAGGCTTATATTCAAAATTTTATGCCCTGCCAAGACTCCAACAACTGAGTCAAATTGATTGAACCCCCCT